GGGATGGGCACAAAGGGGGGCTTGTTCCCCCCCGTCAATGGGGCCTTGTCCGCCCCCCTCACCTGGCGGGCCCGGCCTGCCCCGCAGACCCTGGCGGCCCCCGACGCCCCCCCTCCTCCCTGCTCGGCCCCTCCCCGCCCGCCTCCACCCGGAGCGGAGCTCTGCCGAAGGCGCGGCCGCCCGCTGCCTCTCTGGCCATGTGCAGAGCGCTCCCGCGGCTCGAGCCGGCCTCCCGGGAACTGCCTGCTTCAAGCCCGGCCCGGCTGCGGCTGGCGCGCTTGGCCGCCCTCTTGGGGATCAGGAGGGAGTCCTCTGAGCATACGCAGAGCGCCGCAGGGCCCCCCCCCCCATGTCGGGCTGCTGTCCCGGCGCCCTCCTCCGCCGCGCTTCTGGGCAGGGCTTCCCTCGACGGCAACTCAGCCCTGCCCCCCTCCCCGGAGGATTCCTTCCCCTTCCTCCCAAGTAAGGGGGGGTGCGAAGGGAGAGCCGGCGGGATTGAGCCCTGGAGGGCCAGGCCGGCCCCGGCCTCCTTCCCCTCAGATGCCCTGGGACGCCCGCGACGGGGATCTGGGGTAGACTGCCTCTGCACGTAGAGGCTCCATTCGGCCGTCTTGGCTGGTCGCCCTTGAGGGGACTGACCTCCCCCTCGAGACGGCCCCGACGCCTTCCAGCCTCCGGGGCCAAGCGAGCGCCAGGGCTTGGTTGGGGGGGGGGGCCTCCGGCGATAGTCCCCACCCCACCGCCCAGGGCCTCAAGTTGTGGGGCCAGCGCCGCCCTCCCTCCCCCCCCACACGCACGCACGCCTCTCTCGGAGGGAGGCAGTGCGGCACAGTGGTCGCAGTCTTGACAGGTTCACGTCTGGGGGCCCCGGCCCTGGGTTCAAATCCCGGGCAGCCGTCCAACCGACCTCGCAGAGAGGGCAGACGGTGTCTGGTTCGAGGTGCGTGGCGGGGCTTGTGACCGGAGAGGGCCGCTCCGCTCGGGACCCGAGGTGGGGGTGGTGGGGGCGTCTCCAGGAGGACTTTCCCGGTCCCGGCTCTGCACCTGCGGGGGCGTGCGGGAGTCCGGGAGAGGGAGACCCCCACCGCGCCCCCCCCCAGCTGCACCTGCCGCCGCTCCTGCAACAGCGGGGAGGGGGGGACGCGACTCCCGGGGAGACCCTTCCCCAGTCGATCCCCTCGCGGGTGGGGGGGATGGCGGGGCGTGCCCTTTGGCCGGAGCGGCTGCCAAAGGGCTCCGCCGGAGCCTACTGTCCGAAGCCCCCCCTCAAGTGGCCTCAGGAAGGGGGGGTCCGTGCGCCAGGCCCCCGCCCTCCCCCGTTGCCAGCTCCCCCGGGCGTGCCGGAACTCCCGGCCGGCCTGCGGGGAGCTAATGGAGGCCTTTGCGCCTGGCCGCGGGCCGGATGCGGGCGGCTCTGGAGGGAGGCGGGAGGGGAGGCTGCAATTAGCCCCCGGAGGGAGGGAGGGAGGGAGGGAGAGGCGGCCGGGCCGGGCCGGGCGGAGGGCCAGCCCTGGAGAGCTCTCCGGGCGGAGGTCCGGAAGGCAGCCGGGGAGAGACCAGCCCGTCTCCGGAGCCCAGGACGCCAAGGTCTCCCGGAGCGGTCGGGAGCCCGCCCTTGGCGCTCCTCCACCGCAGTGAGCTGAGCAGTCGTCGAGCAGGCTCTCGCCGCGCCGGCACGGCCCCCCCCCGCCGGACGCCTCCCCCTTAGGAGCCCCGCTCCCCTTTCCCTGTTGAGCGGGCCATTGTCGCCACAGCCCTGCGAGGGAGGCCGGGCGGAGAGGGAACTCGACGGGGCCAATGCTCCCTCTAAGCTGTGGAGTCTACTGAGCAAAAATCCTACTTCGAGAGCTACTGTGGCATGAAAGTTGTGAGCCACCCATTTGGCGACTGCATCAGTTAGTTTGCTCTGGAGCCTCCCCTCCTTTCTGAACTAGGATAAAAATGTGTGAGCCG